CAGCAAAAAAGAGGAAGACCCCCAAGGAGATGGAACAGCACTGTGGTAGCACCAGTGTGATCAAGCTTAACAATGATAGTGAGGATGGCACAGGGCTGGGCACTGTTTCGTCCTGTTGTACAAAGGGTTTCTGTGAGTCAGAACCAACTCTACAGCACGCAACAACAACAACATATGTAAAAACTTGAAGAAGGAAAGGACAGATAAAGTCACTGACAATCTCCCCCCACAAAGGTAAACACAGTTAACATTTTCGAAAACCTGCAGTTTACTCAGATTATACAGTGTTTGATTTAGAGAATAAGTACATATTACATGCCCACAAACAGTTTTATTGAGTCTGTCCTATCCCCAAAAGAGGTCCATAAAAGTCAGACCTTCAGGAATGAGAAAGCTTTAATTTGAGCTTTGTATGAGATTGTATAATTATGTAGATATAATGCACTGTGTCCACTTTATCATTTGGTTACAGATGTGTATCTTGTAAAGAACCCTCTTTATTGTCAGAAATCTAAATATAGACAGTTTTTCCTGATGACTAAGCTTACTCCTTTGCTCCTTTCTGACATTAAGATTCAGCTTCAGATGGGTCTAGAGATAATGAGTAGAGAGGGATGTAGAGTAAATGGAGTTTGGTCTATTGCAGTAAAGACTGCTATTTGCCTCTAAATATATGTTTAATCTTCTTCCATGATAGAAACTCTGATTTTTGTCTGGACCTATGGTATGGTGTTATAAGATAAGACCTAGATTACTGACAGCAAGGTTGGCAGTTTAAACCCACCAGTCACTCCTTGGAAACCCCATACTGGGCTGCTATGAGTTGGAAGCCAGTTGAAAGCACTTAACAAATAAAACAGAGCCCCTTACAATGAGCACTGCAAGTCACACATTCTTTTGCAGCTGGTTGTGGTGATGTGACTAAGTTTTGGCTATAAGATATAGGTGGAATTTACTTTACCTCTCCTTTACCCCTTCCTATTTGTTGACACTCAGAGACATAACGGTTGAAGCTGGAACTTCATCCTAGACCATCTGAATAACAAGATTGAAGGTGCCTGAATCTCTGATATATATGCAACCACCATACTAGGTTGGGATTTCTCATGATTATGTAAGTGGGAAATAAACTGTAATCTTGCCTAAACCACTCTTCTTTTGTGTTTTCTAACATTAGCAGGTAAATAGAAATCTTATTAATATTCTTCCTCTAGGTACCAGGACTACGTTTTTGTTGTTGTTGTTGTTTTTAAAGTTTTTATTTGTTGTTGTTTTTAAAGTTTTTAAAGTTTTCTTTTTAGCTCATTATTGTGAATTGGGCACAAAGCAAATCAGTTCTCCATTCAATAATTCATACACATATATATTTTTAATGCTATCAATTGCATACCCCATTCTTCCTTCTTTCCTCATTCTTCCTGCTTTCTGAACTTTGCCCTTGGGCAAATGTCTTTTTGATCTGAATGGCTGATGGTTCTAAGGAGTATGTACCTCCCTAGCATTATTGTTTATGTTATAGACTTGTCTATTGTTTGGCAAGAGTCCTGGTGTGGCGCTTTGGATTAATGCACTGGACTGCAAAGCCATTTTGAACCTCAAGGTCTGTGGTTTAAGCTAACCAGCCACTCCTCAGAAACCCTATACAGGGTCAGAAACAGCTTGATGGCACTTCACAACAACAGAATGAGTTCAGTTCTAGGCCTAAAGGGTGACTAAGAATCATCATCCCTCTTAGGGGTTCCTAGGGTCTCTATCCTGGCCTTTTTTATGATTTTAACGTATGCTCCACTTTTTTTGCCCCAGTATACTCAGTACCTTCTAATGTGATCCTTTTCAGAGCAGTTTGTAGTATTAGCCAGGCACCATCTAGTTTTCCTGAACTCAGGGTTGTGAATGCTGAGGTACATGGGTTCCTTAGTACTTTACACTAATGGTTTTGATGTGTCTTTTAGTTTCTTCACTCTTCTTTGTTCCATAAGGGGAGAGACTAATAGTTGCATGGAAATGGCCACTCATAAACTTTTAAGACACCACTTGCTAATCACCAAAGTAAGATGTAGAACATCTTTGTGGTTTTGTCATGCCAATTGACATTGATGTTCCCTGAGACTATAATTCTGAGCCCCAGGCTCAGTGACTCATTCTCTCAAGGTGCCTGGTTCTGGCTAAGAAGTTCTCATAACTTTGGTCCCTATATACTCTATTTATGGATATATTTGCAGTGCATGTAAATGTTATGTGTCATCGAATGTAAGCAAATACCTTA